TTCTTTGTTCTTTGTTCTAATAACCTTTGTATCTATTAAAAAGAAAGAATTCTTTAGTTTCTTGTCACTTAATAAAATGAACAATTTTTTACCCACCTGTTACAAAATAATTCTTTATCATCTCTTACTAATAATAAATTTAATTCTTTATTCTTTATTCTTTATCATCATTTACTAAGTATAAATTTTAATTCTTTATCCATTTTTTTTGTTAACATAACAAAGGAAACAAGGAAAAATTATTTAATTTTATAACATCGCACAATTTTTACTGGACAATGATCACATGGAGGTCATGGATGTGCACTTAGAGAGGGAGTTTTATATAGTTGGGAATGAAAAATGACTGTGCAGTGCAGGGGAGAGGGGATGTGCACTTATCTCTATTTACCAAGCTTGGGAATGAATGAGAGCGTGCACTTAGAGGGGGTTGACTGTACAATGTCATATATAGAACAAATAGATGAAAATTTCAATCTTCATGTGCACAATGTGCACAATCTTTTTTATTTTTTTTTAAAAAAAAACCAAACAAATCACTAATACTAGTCTCTGATTCAGACATATATACATCATCATTATCATCATTTTCACTTCTTTAATCAGGTTTATGATTTTTTTCTACTCAGCAATTAATCATACCATTAGCCAATTCAGGGGGAAAAATAGTGGCTTTCGCCACTCAGAAAATTGGAAAAGTTCCAACTGATGAACCTAAATATAAATACTTACCTAGTTACCAGCATTCACTAACATCATCTTCCTGTTCCTCATTATCATCACCATCATTTTCAGTATCATTTTTATTTTATTAAAAAAAAATTTTTTTGTGTTACATTTTATTATTATGTGACATGTGCACTGGAACATCACCAAGAACAAAATTTTTTTTATATAATAATAAAAAAATTTCAGTTGGAGAATGAATATATTATATCTTGGTCCACATGATATATAACTCAATATATATACAACAGCCCAACCCCTTATTTTCAACTCATTGTAAATATATCACCAATTAATGAAAAATGCTAAACTTTATTGAAGATCGTTACCATATCAATTATAATAAGTAGAGCCTCTCTATAAAAGGTTAAAATCTAAAAATTTTTCCGAACTGAAGTAAATGCCATCTATCAATATTGATTATTGATATTGTTAATTTTTTTAAAAAAAATATAGATAAATATGAGTGATAGTGATAGTAAAATAAAAAATGGAATCGAAATCACTGTTATTTCAGAAGAGAAAAAAACTAAAGCAGATGCTGCAAAAGAAGCTGCAAATAAATTATTTCAAGGTTATATTATATTTATATATACAAGAATTTTTTTGCTTATTTGATAAGAATTACATGTATATAAATAAATATTGACGAGTAAATCAATTAAATTTAATATCAGAAAAAAAATATGAAGCTGCAATAACTAAATATACAGAGGCCATCGATTTAAACCCCAATGTTGCAGCTTATTATGCAAATCGATCTTTTTCTTATATCAAAACTGAAGCATACGGCTATGCAATTTCAGATGCAGAATTAGCAATAAAAATTGATCCAACATATACAAAGGTATTTATAATATAGGCATTATAAAAGAAATATTTAAAATATTATGTTAATATTCATTTTTTATTTTTTTTCTTTCTTTGCTGGTATAGGGGCACTATAGAAGAGCAGTGGCAAATATGGCACTTTGTAGATTTGAAGATGCCCTTCGAGATTTTCGAATAGTTAGTGGATATCATGCAATTTTTTTCATTTTGAAATGATATTAAAAATTCATCATTGTATAAAAATTTTTTTGATAGGTTAATAAAAGAATTCCAAGTGATACAAATGCAGAAGCTGGTTTAAAAAAATGTGAAAAGATTGTAAAAAAAATGAAATTTGAAAAAGCTATTTCGGTATTTACAGATTTAAGTAATTAACTTTTAAAATTTTTGATTAAATTAATTCAGGTTTTTATTTTATTTTAACTCTACAGGTAGATCGTAAGTCTGTACTAGATTCATTGGATTTGGACTCAATCAGTAATATTTAGTTTTTGTGTATAAATATTTATTTGAATGTGAAATCATTATCTAATTATTGTATATCCAATAATTTTGATTTGCAATGACAGTTGTAGAATCATCATATGATGGACCTAAATTACAAAATGATAAAATCACATTAGAATTTGTCAAAGAAATGTTAGATTATTTCAAAGATCAAAAGAAAATTCATCGAAAATATGCATATAAGGTATCATTATTATTACTATCACCTCTATTAATGAATTAAATATTTACTCATTCATTAATCAATCACTTTAATCAATAGATTATTTTATCAGTAAGAAATTTGATGTTAGAAGTCCCATCATTAGTAGATATTGATATTCCAAAAGATTCTAAAATCACAGTTTGTGGAGATATTCATGGTATGATATTTATAACAATACATTACATATTAATATACTTTGATGTATTACATTATTGATCAATGATTTTCTCTTTTTTTAAAAAAATTTATATAACAGGACAATTTTATGATCTATTAAATATCTTTGATCTTAATGGTCTACCATCTACAAATAACATGTATCTTTTCAATGGTGATTTTGTTGATCGTGGATCATTTAGTTTAGAGGTGATATTGACATTGTTTGCTTTCAAATGGCTTTACCCAAATTCATTGCATTTAACAAGAGGGAACCACGAAACTGATGATATGAATAAAGTATATGGATTTGAGGGAGAGGTGCATGCCAAATATTCTAAAGAAATGTTTGAACTTTTTGCAGAAACTTTTACCACCCTACCCCTTGCAAATGTTATAAAGAACAAGATAATGGTGGTACACGGTGGATTGTTTAGTCGTGATGATGTCACATTAGATGAAATAAGAAAAGTTAACAGATTTAACAGTCGACAAATAAATAGCGAAAGTTTGATGTGTGAAATTTTGTGGTCAGGTAGAGACAAACATTAAAAATGTAATTTATGGTTATTTCAAGTTTTGTTTATCAAAATTCTTTTTTTTATGACAAAAAAGATCCACAAATATCACCAGGAAGAAGTCCAAGTAAAAGAGGATTAGGTGTACAATTTGGACCAGATGTTACTGAGAATTTCTTGAAAAGAAATAATCTTGGTAAGCTGTTGAAGATTTTTTTGAATTATTTGATAATAATAATTATTACTATTATCTATTTATTTGATTATTACTGTTATTTAGATTATTTAATAAGAAGTCATGAAGTTAAAGAAAATGGTTATGTTATAGAACATAATGGTAAATGCATAACTGTTTTTTCAGCACCTAATTACTGGTAAGTAAATCTGATTGTATGGTTTTATGCATCATTCATTCATCATTCATACATTCATTTGATTTTTTGATTTTTTATCAATCAAAAGTGACACAATGGGAAACAAAGGAGCATTTATTGTCATCACACCAGACTTGGAGTTAAATTACAAGACATTCACTGCTGTGGTAAGTTTGAATCTCATATATCATATATATATAATATATTCATTTCTCATCATTCATATATTTATATTTTGTATATAGCCACATCCAAATGTTAAACCAATGGCATATGCAAGACAGTTAGGAGGTTTACTTTCATGACACTATTATTTATAGCATAAAATTAAATAATGTTATATAAATATGAACAATCTTTTAATTATTAATAAATTTTGTAATTTTATTTTACAATAAATTTATCAATATATTAATATTAACAATAACAATTATAATTTATAATATCAATTTTTTATTAATCAAATAATTCAAAAAAAAATTTAGTAATACTAACACCAAATAATATATTTTTCAAAAAAGGTTCTAAATTTATTTTAAATTTTTTATTTCATCAACTAATGATTTCAACTTATCCCACTGATCCAATTGTAATGAAATACCTTATAATATGTATATATATTTTTATAAATACATTTATACTAATATTACTGTTTTAATTATTAAATTAAAAATCACCTTTTTTAGTTGGCATAGGTGTTCCTCCATCAACTTCAAAAAACTTCAAATACCTATGGTGCAGATCATTTATAATCATTAATTGATTAATTGCTTATAATAACTATGAAGTTGAAACTATTTTGACCGTTTTGCAGATCTGGTCAAAATAGGGTCAAAATAAGGTCGAAGCTGATTTTTACTATATATATAGTTGCCTCAAGTCAAAACATTTTGACTTTGGGGTTTTAATTTCGACATCATGTATAATAACAATTGGTCAACTTCAAAAAAACTTATTGGCTGGTTTTTTCTTAAACTGAAAATTGGCCGAGCCTTAGCATTTTAACTATTGAGTATAGGTGATCTGCACTGTATCAAAATCATATTTTCCACTCTCTATAGTGCAGGTCATCTATACTCATCAAAAATGTAGATCATTCCGATAACTATATATGAATTTTTATTGGTTAATTTTTTTAAAAGCAATTTATTATTATTCTATATTAATTCTATTTAATTCTTCTATTAC